GACTGAAACATCGTAAAAATTGGGGGGTAGGTTTTTTTCGCCATGTGCTCGTGTAGACCGAAAGCTTCAGTCTCTATACCGTCGGTTGTTCCACTGAGACTACGTCTGGCTCCACTAGACCTCCGGTTATAGAGACAGAACGATCGCCTATGCCAGCCTATGTTGAAGATATCACGGCTAGATTTTAGCCGTTAGGCCCCTCCCACAATCATGAACAAACTTGCCACGGCCGTATTGTTATGCCCCCAAAATCCCCCAAAATGTCATTTTACCTCGTGCATATCCAATTTTACATTAGGCCTAGGCTATAATACATCGGTTCCACTTACTAACTTGATTGAAATAATTCGTTTAATGGTCCCTTTTAAGGAAATTATGGGTCAAAATCGACATCCATGTTGAAAATCTTGCAAGCCGTGTTAAACTCTCGCTGCCGTCAATCTCATCCCTTCTAGTCTACGCCGAAGGCAAAATGATTATGAAGGAACAACCGACGGTATAGAGACTGAAGCTTTCGGTCTAGTGCTCGTGTAGTCCCATATACATCATTCTGTGTACAGTGCTTGTAACTTTGCCAAGATTTGGCCAAATTTCTCATCATTTTGATGATTCCAGAACCTTGCAATACACACGAATACTTATATACTAGATGATCAACCTTTTCTGATAGATTCCACACCGTTTCTTTCACAATGCTGTAAGGTTTTAATTTCACTGATCCAAGTGGTTACTTGTTTATTTTACACTGTACATTTAGCTTTCCACTCCGATATGCTTTAGCGCACTCCTGACCTACATTCATTCTCTCCTGTCTGCTAGCTCTTGGCTTCTATTGTTCTGTCCCTATTCATTCATCCTCATGCACATTACCTGCTATAGCACCACACACATACACACTCTTCCTTATCTCTTAGCTATTCAACCCAGCACACATGGCACATGGCACTCTATCTTTTACAAGCTTTTCTATTGGTTACCTATTTATTGTTCAATCTTGTGATTGGTTATTATTGTTTGATGGACTGCATGTCAGCCACCTTGGCAGCCATTTTGTGGTTGGAATAAAATCTAGTAGTGCAGCTCAAGTCCTCAACCATGTGAGACCACTTTTGTTTTGTGTGGGACTTTACAATGCAATCACATGACCAGAACTCAACTTTATCTTTAAGTACTGAACTGCCTACTCAAGACACATTTTTTATGTGATCCACACTTTGAAACAAACATGAACAATTTCTAGCATGTTTTAACTTCATATATTATAGGCCTAGATCTAGGCCTAAACTAAAGCTAGTCTAGTGCGAACGAAATTCACCAAATATTCCTTACCTGAATTAATGACGATAAGAAACTGAGTCTAAGGTTGAGAATGACGCAACTCGATGTTCAATCAAACAAGTGCTTGAATTTTATAATTCAACTTATTTACACTGGTACTGATCCCTTGCGCTGCTTGACTAGACTCTTGCCCGACACATGTAGCTCCTGGTTGACCTTAGCTACGGTTTGGCTTCGTGTTGTTTTTTACCCACTTCTCATGGAAATCCTTTTTTCATCTCTGACAGTCTCTGAGGTCACTGACTGATACTTTTTTATAGTTAGAAGTATATTTTGAGATAAATCGAGTCTCGCTCACCTGAACATGTAAAAAACAAGGTCAGAAATAGGTCCACAAAGAGCACTTCGTCCCAAATCTGGTAACTTATAGTCCTCCTCGTGTTATATTTAATTACTCGTACGAAAACAGCAGCAGACAACACGGGACTAGACTTGACTCCAAGCTAGCCAGAATCCACCGGGCAGTGCGGGTACGGCGTCGGGGTGCGGGTGCGGTGAGATGGTGGTCGTGGATGGAGCGAGGGGAAGGCATAGAGATATGGGGGAAGGCCAACTCTCGTATAGTCTACGTATACGCCCAGCTCTATACGCACATGTGCACGCTACTACTTTGTTTTGGTTCTATTGCGAGTAATGCCAGATGGCGCTGTTTAAATTGTAGCACAGTTGACAGTTGCAGCTAGCAGCAGCATAGAGAAGTCATTGTGGGACCCGCAACTTACTCTCGATTTCTGTAATTCATTTAACTTTTACATGTATAATCAATCTGAATTTCTTCTCTATTTTGTTCCGCTCAAGTTGTCTATTTATATGCAAAGTATAAGCTTGAAGATGGGGTGATAATAGTGCCCGATTGATTTTGAAATCGCTAAGACTGTTCCTTACAAGAAAAGTGCTTCAATGCTATTACGAAACGCCCCTTCTCAGGCTCTTTTTCACTCCCTTTTGACAAATTAAATAGATATATCTTGTTTTTGTTAAGTTCTATAGGTCTTTGCCTGTATAAAGGAATATAAATGAATACATTTGTGTCTGATCATGTTACACAAACCACATATGAGACAAATGTTTTACTCTAAAACGGATGAAATAATAAAAATGACAAAAGTCCCACAGGACCGAAATTTTCAGTCTCATGAGCCATCTGTCTAATGGGTTGTTTATATCTTTAATACTGACATATTTCCGACCAACTAAAGTGAAATGATACCTGCCTTTAAAGATATCGTTTAACAATGTTAAATCTGAGATGCATGGCCCTACGTGTTGTCAGTGCATGTCTGGGATATGGTGTATTACATTGAAGCCCTAATGAAAAAAAAAAAAGCGCTTCAAAAGGATCATGAAGTGCCGCACAAAAATAATAATCTTTCAGTGACCGGTTTAGTATACGATATCGGTACCCATTTCCTCCAATAAACTGTAGTGTTTTAAAAACCGTTAGGAAAACGCAAAATTTAATTTTGATTTCCAATCATAAATACTAATGCAGACAGGCGATCGGTTTGTAAAACTAATGGGGCTCCTGACTGACCTACTGAGGTTTATAACTATCATTGCAGCATGTGCTAAATCCAGGATTTTGTTTCAGAATCTGGGACAAAGTTACCCAGTCCCTTTAAGTGGGGAAAGTATTTGAAAGTAAAATAAAAGTTCCTTCAAGATTTTGCTCGTCCACAACACAACCTCTTCTGTAGCCAAACTTCACAAAATGATTGGAAGAAAAAAAACCAATTCCCGGATTAATCGATTGATTGCTTGCTGGCAATAAACGGTACATTCATGAAATACCGCTGCTACTATACGATAAGGCTATCTTATAAACAATATCATATCGAAATTAAAATTACAAAATGTACCTAGATCTTGGGCACATTCCCTCATCTCTCTTTGTGTTAAAAGGTACAGAAATGTGACGCATATTATACTCAACGTCATAACAAAAATGCCCGCTCCTTGCCACGTCATTACTTCGACTTCACTACCACTGAATGTACCTACACCCCCTAAAAAACACCTCTCCTTTCTCTCCTCTCTTGCTTGATCTATTTCTCATGTTTCTTTCCCTGCTTGGCTATCCATCTTGATCTATATCTCTACCTCTCATATGCTCTAAATCTCTCTTTCAAGCTTGTACCCGTTTCCATTTAGCTATCCATCTCAACTTGATCTCCAAAGCGCCCTTATAAATGCTTTCTCTCCTTCCTCCCACATACTGGTACATGATTATATTACATCTCTTATAATTATGATATAAATATCTTCTTTCTATTATCTTGTTCACTGTAGACAGTTATACCCCCCTTTCCTACATATCTAAACATCCCCCACTCCCACCCTCATTTCTCTTGCCCTTCCTCCATTAACCCCTTCACTCCCTTTATCCTCCACTCCCATGCACCCTCAACTCTCTCCCTTCCTCTCGTGATCCTCCCATTCCTCGATCTCTTCTCCCTTTCCTCCCTCATGCTCTTTCTTCTCTTTCCTGCCTCCATCTCCATGCATCCACATCTCTCTCTCCTTTCCTCCCTTCCCTCTATCCTCCATTCCCATGCACCCTCATCTCTCTCTCCCTTGACCCTCCCCTCCCTCCGTCTCTTCTCCCTTCCCTCCCTCATGCTTTTTCTTCTCTTTCCTGCCTCCATCTCTGCTCCCATGCACCCTCATCTCACTCCCTCCCTTCCCTTCTTTCCCTTCCTTCCTACCTTCCCCTCTTTCTGGATTCAAACCTTACAAATAAATCATGAATTAAGACTCGGAATAAGAAATACAAAAATAGTTTTATATTTGGCACATACTCTGTACAGATAAACATGGTATGCACAAACATGATTGTATAATGAACATATTCCAGATGTAATGACATTTCCATTTCAGTTAATTTGGTATTCTTTGCATATCATATAAATACAAAGCTGTAAACTTACAAACTATAAGATCATCTGATTCGAATAACAGTGATCAGATTTTCTTCTTAAAGTTAGAAACATTCTTTTATTGCTACATCTTTCTCATATAATTCATGTACCTTCAAAGAATATTGATTTGTTTGTATACACTGATAGAAAGTATGTCGTACAGTAAACACACACTGGTATGCCAGTTTGTATTGAAAAATGGTGATTTTGACATTTTCAACATGTCACAGAGTTCAGGATTTCAATGCATATATTTCCCTCCTATACAAGTAGCTCTTGGGATCAAGGCTAATATCAAATCACATGACCACTTTGTGCATATATGCAGGCCTTCAGCATAAGACACACAAAACTTGGTACACATCTACTCAGAGGCCTGATAGTTAAAATGGAAGAAGGAAAATACAACAGCACTATTAAGTACTGGAATAATCCTTGAATTGTGATATGTACATACATGTATTTGGTCTAGATATACTTTTCATTTCAGGAAGATAGACAAATTTTGTCTCTATTTATAGTATATACAAAGAATAAGAAAACAAAACTTGGTACATATCTACTGATAGCTAAAATGGAATAATACAATGAAGAAAAAAAAAACATTATCAAGTACTGGAATAATCCCTGAATTGTAGATATACCAATATATAATTGGGCTAAACATACATTATCACAGTTTCGCTCATTCCTGTCAACTTTTCACTTCAGGAAGATAGACAAATTCTATCTTTTTTTATAGCAAAAACAAAGCATTCAGGTAATAATGTTTAGGTAAGGTAAACGTAATATGATATATTTAATGTGTATGAATAAAACATTGCTATGTTGTGATATGAAGTACATTGAATTTGCTGTTTCATTACTAGTGTTAAATATTATAACTTTATCTTTACAGTATAAATATGCAAGGTCTGAGGTTGGAGTTGGAATTTTGGTTAGTGTAGGAAACCGATGCGGAACAACTGTCGCAGTAGCAAGTGTTGTACAACCCTCTTAGAGACAGTTCTATACGATAGAGCAGCACCTAATCCTGCTGTGCGATCTGGATGGTTGTACACTGCCATTGTCTGAGAAGTAATCCTCCTCGTCTGAGAGGTTATCCACCTCGTCTGAGACGTTGGCCTCCTCGTCTGAGACGTTGGCCTCCTCGTCTGAGACGTTAGCCTCCTCGTCTGAGACGTCATCCTCCTTGTGTAAGAGGTCAGAAGCATCCTCCCTGAATTCATGTTGAGGAAAGAAGATAAAATATAAGTTTTGGGGATAGAATCTGGGCCCTCTAACATATGAAATGACTGACAATCCAATCAATTGTAAAAATCTGTTGTATCTTCAGTTTGCTACATTTATTGTTTCTTAGTAAGCATTGATCTACATGTATCTGTAACATAAAATTAATGGTAAGTTGCTATTTATTGTAATGTAATGATTGATTAAAGGAGATACTTGTACCTTCAAGATTTAGGAGATAATATTAATTGTAAATATCAATGTTACAGGGCTCAGGTGCTGGGGTCTGGGGTGGTATTTTTATGCTAGTGAAAGAACGTTTCCTGTTATAGCAAAGATTAACAAGAAAAGTCATTTGTTAATTGCTACACAAAGCTGGCATTTAAGAGATAAATCTGCACCAGCACCTACATTTAGTGTCTACTCCATGCAATCTCAAGTCACAATAATGAACATACTTTTCACTTTTTAAACATATAGACAACATACAGTATAGTTTTCAGAATACGGGCCCAGAATACTAAGTATATATGTATTTGGGTTATTGTGGACAATAAGTCAATATACTAAAAAAGCTGAATATTTGCAGCAACTAGCTGCATCATAATAACTTTGGGTGGCCTTGCATTTCGTAGATACTTGAAAGAAATGAGAAGAGGCAAATGTGCCTGATAAAAAGTAAGCCATAAAAACTGATATCTTTGCTTGATAATATACAAATGATGCATGCGAATGAATTCATTATAATTATGATCTATCTCCTCTTGAGTTGCGGCTGTATGCATCTATTGTACGCAACTGTCAGGCTGAGTACGATGGGTGTATAAACAGCCTTAACAAGACCCTGTAATGAAGGAATGAAAACATCCATCTTAGTTTTATACAAGAAAAAGCATAGATCCTTGTAATTTGATGTAAAAAGACTTTATTTAAAGATGATTTTTAGTGATCATCATTTTCAAATAAACCACAAGCGTAATATGCTTAATTTAATCCACACACAGTATATAAAGCATATTAAACTCTACATGTACTGCTGCACATTGTGTACTTAAAGATCGTTTAATAAATAGTCCTGGGAACTATTGCATGCTTTTTAATGGAAAAACATGTGATAGTCTCAGTGGATGAATCACATGTGACCGCGCTCGACCAATCATTTGATTAGGATCTAGGAGTAAGTTGTATAGCAATAAAATTAATTTGTAATTTATTTTGTTTAATAGTTGACTTACCGTCTAAAGTCAGTGAGTGACTGCAGGAATGAATCAAAATCCGCTTGGGGAACTCCATTGAACCTGAAATTTCCATTACTGATTTGAGGAAAAGAATCCTGAAAAGAAATATATGAGCATGATTGGTGATAGTGATTCATGTAGTTTCCCTCCATTCCAGTCTGGCTGACATACTTTAACATACATGTACATACCAGGTCAGTACTCTCTCTGGCATATAGACTTAGTATCCTTGTTATGTTGACAACTCCTATATGCCCCCCCCCCCACCCCTCCCCACCAAATACACACACATTCAAAAGAGCTATGTTGATTGAACTGGTCAATATTTTCAACAGAACTTTATGCTGACACCCCATCCTCCCTGATCATGCACATGCCCAAAACAAAAAGAACAAAAAAACAACAAAAAATCTGTGCTTAAAATAAGTACACTGTGATCAAGATCTCCATCCTTGTTTAGTGACTATTCAATTTGACGTATACTCTCAGACCCATGATGACATTATTCAAACCTTATGAATTGATTTGAACTATTTGTATCTATTAGTCTTTAGAGTACTTCAGTGATCTGTTTATACTGAAATTGTATTATTGCGTAACTAGTAACACAACACTCTCCCCCCCCCAAAAAAAAAAAACTAGATGGAATTCGACTGCGCGCAGTCGAAAATGATGCCTCCGTCATAGAGCAATTTTACAAACCAAAACAGAAGAAATTTTTCGAATTCAAGTTCAATTGTAATTCATTAACAGGTTCTCAGAATATCGTGATTACAAGCAATTTCTCATATACATATATGACCCTTTGATCTTTGACCTCATATCCCTAAAATCTACTCAGTTCATTGGCTCTGCAAGATGTCCTGAGTTAAATAGTAATCCATCTGTCAGTTCTAATGAGAATGCGTTCACAAGCTATTTTGCATACATAATGAGCCCATGACCTTTGACCTTATGAACCAAGAATCTACTCAGTTCATTGGCTCTGCAAGTAACATACATGACCTAATTTTGGCAGGAATCCATCAATCGGCTCTTGAGATAACGCAATCACAAGCTGTTTTTGCATACATAATGTGCGCTGTGGCCTTTGACCTTTGACCTCGTGACCCCAAAATCTAATCAGTTCATCGGCTCTGCAAGTAACATACATGACCTAATTTTGGCAGGAATCCATCGATCGGTTCTTGAGATAACGCGATCACGAGCTGTGTTTGCATACATAATGAGCCCTGTGACCTTTGACCTTTGACCTCGTGACCCCAAAATCTAATCAGTTCATTGGCTCTGCAAGATACATACATGACCAAAGTTTGGCAGGAATCCATCAATCGGTTCTTCAGATAACGCGATCACAAGCTGTTTTTGCATACATAATGAGCCCTGTGACCTTTGACCTCGTGACCCCAAAATCTAATCAGTTCATCGGCTCTGCAAGATACATACATGACCAAAGTTTGGCAGGAATCCATCAATCGGTTCTTCAGATAACGTGATCACGAGAACGGGACGTACGTACGTACAGACGTGTGTACAGACGTACGGACGGACAGACGGACAACCCGAAAACATAATGCCTCCGGCTACTTCGTAACTGAGGCATAAAAACTCCTTAAACTCATCTCCAATGCTGCATGTGTACCTGAATTCATCATGGCATGGATATAGAGTACAAACACACATACATACCTGTAAGGTTGACGCCTTTGCATTCAGTGTAGAATAGAACTCCTCCTGGAACTCCTTTCCACGTATTGACAGGTCAGTCAGGGTTGGCATGGAACACAAAGCATCTACTAGGTAATGTGAAGAGGCTGATGTTGGACACCTAACATCATCAAGCCTGACAGTGTGGACCTACATGTATACAAACAGTGATACATACAAGTACATTACCAGAGTACACGTTTTCATTGAATTACTGCAAATATAACTGGGTGCTCTGATATACATGTATGTGTATGGCTATGCTGAGGTGACAAATGCTCTGGGCTTTTGTTAGTCACATATATATATATATATATAGGATTTGGATGAGACCTGCAAATAGGCTTGAGCTTAGGTTTAGCGTTTCAGTTAGGTATAGATTTTGGTGCAGGGTTAAGTTCAAAATTTGGTTAGTTCAGGGTAGCGGGCGCAGAAAATTGTCATCAGAGCATGCATTGTAAAAGAATAGGACTGACTTTTATTATTACAGCCATAGTACATTTCATTACTGCATATTCATCAGAGTAAATGCATCCATCTAAAATATTTATCAACAAAACACAGTATGCTGAGTAAAACCCAGCTCATCTTGAACGTAACTATAATATGAAGGTTACGTTAATTTGCCAAATGGATTTTCAACTCCATTCATTTACATATACTTCTAGATCGACATGTATGTTCCTCTTTATATAACTTGCGTGTACTAGCTGTCATCATGTGATGAGGCTGGTGTGGGGCACTCAACATCATGAAGACAGAGAGTCTGGATCTGTACAGAACCTGACATAGGTTTAACGCTGGCAGATGAAAGGGAGGGGGTGGAAGTTTGTAAACATGTGGTGAGAGACCACATCATTGAAAGATTCTTTTGGGGGCTTGTGTTCATTTGCTCAAGAGTAGTTTCTGCATCCTTTATTTACTTTTATAAGTTAAATCAGACACATAGAATGTGTATTATTTATATGTTGGAAAATACTTAGCACCTTCAGGTAATTTTTATGTACATCATAGTTAGTAAGATCAAAAAAGGATGAAAATGTAAGTCCTTTGACAAGAGTCAGGGATGGATAATAGGAGATGACCATACTGAAGATGTCAGTAAGAGGAAGATCAGGAAGTCCTGAGCGTAGGAGGGAATTGCAGTGATTCTACTGTATTTTAGAGGTATGTGAATTAAATGCAAATCTTCTCAGTAAAATATTCAGTATAGCACCTTTTCATTGTAATTCAAAGATTTAGACCAGCATCACTAAAGATAATATTCTATTAGATAGTTTAAAGCATGATCATTTTATGTACAAGCGTAAAATGATTATGATGATGATAATAATAGACGTTATATTGTACATGAAAGTGGTCTAGCTTGAGAACATATACATTCCTTACTATAATTTTCCTTTGTGGCTCGTATTATATTGCCTGCTATGTTTTAAATAATTTGTATGTACTATAGTTCTGTTGAATGAAGACATAATACCAACAAGCAACAACAAAATAGCTGGATACCTAGGGGGCAAAACCCAATTTTTTTTTTATTTTTTTTTTTGGGGGGGGGGTTGAGATATTATATGGGATGTTGCAAAAGGTCGGTCGGTATGAATGTGTTCAGGGGACCTCCCTGCACAATTTCTAGGTGGACTCCCTTGACAATATTTTGTTGGAAGAAAAATAGTCAATAGTTAGAAGATAATTTTTAACAGAACATTATTTTATCATGTATGTGGTATCATACAAAAGGAAATTAAACTATCTACTCGATGATACCACATTTATGATGATTGAATTTACTTTTTACATACCAATTTTGGGCCAATTAAAAAATGATTTCTTAACATTTTTTCCAAAAGTATGAATTGCACTAAATAACATATTTCTCCATATTTCAACAACTTTTGAAACTGAAGAATTAAAAATATATAGAAAACTTTCCTTTTATTAGTTAAATATGATCTGAAAATGAACAGGTTTATTGCTTTTTATGTAAAAAAAGCTACAGCGTAGCAAAGTTCATCCTTTGATATTTAGCATTTTGGACAATATGCACAGGTCAGTTCGCTGATGATACGTTTAATGCGCATCGTCATTGCCGCATATGTGTCAGATTTGACCTTGCAATTGAAACGCTTTTCTCTACTTACATTTTATCTTTGTTCGTAATGATTGAAAGGACAGTGAACAGGGAAGGGTTGGGCTGGGTGATGGGGAGACACAAGGGGCAGGGGCAATTAATAAATCCCCCAACAAAATTAGCAATTATGAATTGTAGTCAATACAAATTGTGTTAGGTAATTGTAGAATCTTTGTTTTATATGACATGGTCACATAAAACATAGAATCATGTCTGGACTTACAAATATTTAAATGAAGTTCTATAAATGACTTAACAGAGCTGTTAGCAATATCAGTGCATTAAACAGTCCACACATTTTGGATCATGCATGATAACATTGTAATTATATAATCTGCAATTAAAAGTTGTGAAATGAAGTGAGAGACAGGAAATCAAAAATTACATGTACATTTCAACTAATACAATAATGAAGACAACTATAAGAAACTTCCTAACCAGCTTGTGCCTTTTAGTATGAGGTTTAAATTTCAGTTGCAGGTTTGAGGATGTAGTAAGTTTGCTGACTCAAAATAAATCAAAATATTTCTACTTCATAGCAAACTTTTGGATTATTTATAAAATATTATCTAGCAGCTTATTCTAGAATTTTCCTATGTAATGATCTGGCATCACTACGGAGCAATCATGAAGATTCTTCTCACGGACTCTGTATAACAACATTACCTGATGTAAATATAAGAGCAAGTGAACCTTTATCTAAATATTTTGTTTGACTTGTTCCACTTGAACACTTGTAGATTAGAATAAACCTTAATATTATGTAGCATCAATTTTGTTCTATTCTTGTGTTATGGATCTCAACACTTAAATCAGATTTGCAACCTTTTGTGATGACTTACATGTTTGATACATCCAATACGACTGTTAATTTAATACATATTACCCACATCTTACTCTTGTTGTATAATTGATAAGAGGGTAACATTAACTAAAGCAACCTCATACTAGATGAATTTCAGAATTCCTGTGTCTGTCTTTTAAGATCTTACAAGAATTACAAGAGTAAAATTGTGCCTGCTAATATTAAGTAACATTTCTAAGTTAGGTATATATCAAATATGAATACAGTGCAACTATTATTAAAATGATACACCCCCTCTATATTATACATTCCTACAGCAAGATGAGTAACCAGCCAAGAAAACGTGTGGCAGATAGTGCCATGTCCATGAAGCATGTGCCTGCTAAGAAGTCTTCCAAAGATATGAGCACCGACTACACAAAATGCATCATATGACTACAAGAGTCTGTGATGAGCCTTTATTCTTCATCCGGTTAACAACATATCCGAACCTTATACAAGCCATGTTAGCCTGGCAAGATGGAGTATTTAACAGAATTCACACCAAGTCTGCATCAGAAACCTGGTTGGAGGAAAATGTACATACATGACAAAAGCTACCAATGTGATGACAAAAAAAACGTCTTGCTGATAACCTGAGTACACTAGATGAGTCTCATGCAGGATGCAGCTCATCGCAGTCGATGCAACCTATCAAGTTAACCAGCTAGAACACTGATAGTTTTTAAGCAAAGAAGACATGTGTAATTTGCAATAAGAAGTGGCTAAAGGGAAAGGAGCCAGTGTGTAAGGTATCAAAAAAGAACAGTCAACTGTCAATGGAGGAAATAAGGGCGAGGAAGCTGGGCAGATGACATTTTACGGAGAATGATGGGGACAGGGACATGTACGACATGTATGAAAAAATTTAAGGCTTTTCGCATTTATTCTGGTCGGTCAGAGTTAAACCCTTATGATGTTGCATTCAGCCGACTAGTAGATGAGCTGGAAGCTCCTCTTTTCCTTGATCTGTGCAGATTTCTTGTAGAATCACTCAACGATAGGTACCGAGACATTCTTGAGGCGCTTGGTTTTGATAAACGAGATCAAAGCCGGGCAAATGTCTTGAAACAGACATTACGTGAACATTATGGGTCACTTATTTCAGTCCTCAATCAAACAAAAGGTTCAGGATTTAAATCTGCTTCCACAGTACAACTTGGTGACGTACTGAACAAAGTAGGGAAGGAGATGATATCGAGGAAAAACACCATACACTCCTGCAAGCATCAAAGATTCTAAGAGCAGATTGTGAAAAGTGTAAGAAAGAGACTCATGAGAAAAATTCAACCGAAATTGCCTTCACATCTGCATACAATATAGTTCCGGACTCACTTTTCAACTTCAAAGCAATGCTTCTTAAAGGCCATATGCCAGAATTGTACTGGAGACTGGAAAGTCTGATGACTTCTTCAGATGGCCAGGCTGAGGATGTTTTGCTTATGTGGCGCCTCGGTAGAATGAACACAACTTCGCAACTGGTGGATGCTCCTACAGATTTAGAAGCAGGACTTCCGGGCTTTTCTGCATTCTATGCTGACCTCCATCCACATAGACAGGCAACCATCATTGGCTATCTTCCTCTGATCCCATCTTCTCCAACTGCCTCTACTGTACTAAAGGAAATGATGATTCGACTTGTCAGGACATCACATGCATGTGGCGACAAATACACAATTATCACTAAATATCAGGCTACTTATGAGCTCGCTGTAGCCATCAGAGACAAGCATAGTAGGGAGTTCAGTAATGTGGTCTTACTACTGGGTGGCTTTCATCAACCTCACAACTACATGAAAGCAGTTTGGAAGATCATTAGGGCGGCAGGTGCAGAAGATCTTCTTGTTGCAGCTGGTCTGTGCCAGGAAGGGGCTGCCAAGAAGATGTTTGGTGAAAAAACCGACTACTAACAGTAACAGGCCATACATGCCCTCAGAACCTGAGCAAAGCTATGTGGCGCCTCAACTAGGAAGCATTCAAGACATGGGCAACAGACAGAGAAACAGCCTCAGGTGGAATATGATTTGAAAATGCTCTTTGAAAAAGACATCACTGCCACTGAAAAGTTGCAAATGCATGAATTCCCATGAACAGTTATCAGCCCTGTGAGAACAGATGGTGCTTTTCCCAGAATCAATGGTTGAGAAACCAACAGCAATCCTCTGGTCCACCTTCCTGATTATGTCAGATGTTTTCATAGATTTATCTACTACCAGCAAGAAGCTGACTGGGAAGGACACCTCTATGAATCATATCGAATGCTACCTTACCTCACAGCAGCAGGATATTACAAATATGGGCAGCAGTCTCTGCCTCTCTATCTTGATGAGATGAAGAATCTTCCTGAAACAGCCCCTGATGTACATGAAGCACTTATGGCGGGTGCATTTGTTGGAAGGAGAGCAGATGGCAAGCACAATTGTGTTTTTCCTGACATGCTTCTTGAACGGACTTGCAATGCAGATGCCAAGGAAGCTAGGGGTCTTGACGGAATTACACTAAACCCTGTCGCACGGATGAAATGGGTTTAAACAAAACCCATCACTGCATCTGTCTCTGCACAGTCAAAATCAATGCTGCATTTTCATTCACCCAGCCCTCACCCAGCCCTCACCATGAATCTGGTGTATGTCGAGTAACAAGGGATGCAGAGATGGTCATCAAGGTAATGGCAGCAGTCGAGACGAATCAATCCAGTGCAATCACGACATCCCTGATAAATGTGGCAACTGGGCAATGTGCTGATTGCAGAGTTTAGGACAACTTGAGCAGTGTTAAACAAATAGGCCTGGAGGCACTGTCTCAATCACTGTCCAGTCTTCAGAAAAAGACAAGTATTATCAAGCTGAACACGTTCCACACACAAAACGAGAAACAAAAGAAGTCTAGGCCCAAAACAGCTAAATCAGGGAAGAGTGATGAAGTAACTGCACTTCTGAGTATGACACAGATCATTGCTAGTCGTGGAGAACTATCAGCCATGCACAAAGAAGGCGAAGACCTGATGCATGGCTGATCTTCAACGAAACGGAGTTAAGTCTTTTGACAACTCTGTTTGTTGCTACGGCAGGTAGCCAGTGAAAACAAACTTGTTTGATCAAATTATGGAAATGCAAGCATTACTTTAAACAAACAGAACTTTGTTATTCCTGGCTCATTTTTCCTGATTGAGGCGTCATATTGTGAGCAGAAATTTCTAGAAATGTGATTTTCTCCTTGAAATTCAGATACCGCCCGCCAAATTACTTTTTGGTTTCCTCTCTTCAAATTGCTTTTAATCACTCATGCGTGAAATATGCATCATATGAGTTGCATTAAATGAAAGAGGAGGATCTAAGCTTTCCAAATATGTGTCATTTATTAATTATAATTGTGATTAAGTTATGATAAAACATCAATAGTTCTCGGTTTCGTTTTTTCTGGGACGCACTGTATATTACTTTAGAACATTCTCAAAATTGTTGCTTTGACTTCACAAACTTTGGTCCAGGATCCACACTACAGACTGTTGTATAGTCAAAACTAAATTGTAAATAGAAACCCTGACATGATGATGGAAATTTTGAATTCAGGTTAGTGCAACATGTCATGAAAGAAAATCAGAAGGATGTTAAGTGAACACTAAATAGAAATAAAAACTTGGTGATAAAAACCCTTTTTGATATGTATCAAATTATTTGAACACTTTGCATGTATATCTGCAAGTTTTGACTCCAGCTATGCATTTTCCATTCAATACATCAAGTTTGCACCCGTAAATTATTATGGTTACTGATCCCTAAACCAAAAATTCAGGGGCAGCAATATCTTGTCACGGCGGAAATGGGGGGGGGGGGGGGGGGGTGCGATATTTTAGGAAGCTCTGCAACTGAAGGGGAGAAGGTTACCACCCTCCCCTCCCTTTTCTCCACTATGATTTCATATTTTGTTGTCAGAAAATTTTGCAACGCCCCAGTGTAAATCTTACTGGGAGGTTGCATAGTGACAGAATGACAAAAACAATGCACTTTTTAGTTTTTAACTCTGCATTTTAGAGCACTTTCAATCAACATGAATATCAGGATGTGATCTTGATTTCTATACAATTTTGTCTGTCTCTAAATTGGTATAAGCAGCCTTAAAACCATCATTTTGATAATGATTCTACATCCCCCCTAAATATCAGTGTGGGAGAGAAACATTTCCATGAAAGTCCCCCCCCCCCCCTCCCGTACCCTATAAAACACCGACCATGCAATTCGCAGTATAGCCAATTAATGTTTTAGAGTTTACATTATCAATCACTTAAAAGACAAGATCGATGTCATACTAACTTCTGCAGTTCTGACATCTTTGAAGCCTATACCATTTCATATTTGTTTTAAGTCAAAGTTTACTACGTTTAGGAATGTAGCGCTCTGTGTGTAGCTAAGATATTTCTAAATTTAGAGTAGTAAAACTTTGTATTTTGTTACATTAACTAATTGTTTATTTTATCTTTTCTATTTATTATACTAAATTGTTCAGACGAGAACAAACCACACACACAATGAAAATTCTGAGAGACCCCCCCCCCCCCGATGAGTACATGTATACATTTCATATGAGAAAATCCATGCAGTATGATGCAAATATCAAACCACCAAGATTTGTTGGAATATAATGACAAGATGTTGTAGAAACATTTAAAGAATGAAATTAATAGAATTTAAAGATAATAAAAAACATGTATAAATATTTCCATTTCCAAACAGTACAAAGAATTAAGAATAAAGTGTATATATCAAAATATAATTTTAAAAATAAATCTATAATGAAATACACATGAAAGAAGAACCCCTCCATCACGTCCAGGCCGTTCCTTTGTTATTTATCTTCATCATCACTTGCAATCCTTATTTCCTCTTTACTTTTATTTGTCAATTAGAGAAAACCACTCATACTCCTCTTTCCTCTTTATATTTATTTGCCAACTAGAGAACACCATAAATTCCTGACCCAACTTAATTTTTTTCTCCGGCTGTAATCACAGTGATTTTCCAAATTTTCAAGCGATTGATGTTCTGCGTCTTGTCAAAGCGCCCCCATAGGCTAGACTACGGCATTACAATGTGTTTTTTCACTCACCTTGGACTTGTTTCCTTCTTTAGCAAGAACTGCATAGAAGTCACTGTGCAAGGCAGCTCCGTGTAGTGTAACATGCTTTAGAGAGGACACAGAGCATATAATCTCTGCCATATGATGTGATATAATTGGTCCAAATTGTCCATGTATCCCATGATCAATCTTAAATCGAAAGCAAAAACAAGCAAAAAATTAAAAAAAGAGAAAATCCATTGATAAAGTTTAAGACCACCATGCTTCTGTCACTCGGCCTGCATTAAGAATGTCTCATTGAATGATTACAGAATGTGTACTTAATACAGTGGTCGATATCATCAGAGTAGTGCTACAAAACCTATATGATCCCAAATTTATTTGCAAAGGAAGGCCTGCTATAACATTTTATCTGCAATGCAGTATGGTAAAGAAAGGCCATTTTTAAAGACCCTAAATTATTCCGTTCATCAAAATCTGAGCATCAAATTATCAAGAGAACTGGTTGCAGCAAAACTGAGGTGTAGGATACCATTTCAAGCAGTTTATTTTCTGACCAAAAAAGGGTTGGTAGTCCAATAAAACTAATTCAAATAGTAATGTTGATATTTATCATATGCCTATAGTGATGGGTATATGAAATGATACTGCCAAAAGTATTATCATAATATATGTTTCACATCAATCCCCCCACCCCCTCCCCTCCACTACAAAAAAAATAGACAGTCAATAATCATCATTGCTGGTAGTATATATCCACTTAAAATATTATTAGTGTAAAATATTGTACTAAAGACATCTCCTTGAAGACTAGTGCAAATTTGTTAATAATGCTTCCTTCTCATCTCTTTCTTTCTCTCCTAAATGTTGTTTTGTTTATAAATTATTTGAAACTTTCTTAATTTGATTTTGTATTGTGCTCAGTCTTTATGTCCATGCCACTTTTATTTACAAAAATAATCTGTCATTGATTTTATATGTGTTGTTTAAAAAGGGAAAAACAATTTATTTTATTTGATTATACAGATAATCAGGTATAAGGTCATGGATGTAAGAGAGTGGAAAGTAGGCATATTAAAATTACATGTACCTGGAGTACTGGTCAAACATGATCTGAAATGGTCATGTCATGTGAATGATATTATGTCAAGCAAGCAAGCACAAAACTATAAATGCTCAGAATTTTAAACGGATTAAAACTTCCAGCAAATGATCTATTATGTGTCTACTGTTCTTAGTTTGGCCCGTGGTAGAATTGTGCCCCTGTTTGGCACTCTGGGCTAACTGAAAATCAAAGTAATCAGATTGAAATATTCAAAAAATGAGTGTGCTGCCTTTTGCTTGGACTGCACTAATGTGCTTACCAACATGCTCTCAAAGAATTGGAACTACCTACTCTAAATGAAAGGAGAGAAAACCTAGCATCGAGTCTGGGTAAAAGATTGACCAGCCCATCATCAAAATTTCACCAATGGCTTCCCCCCTTCCGATCAACTGTACAATGTCGATTATTTCAAAATGGACAAACCTATTCCGAAGTCTTTTGTAAAACGGAGCGCTACAAAAGAAGTGCTCTCCTCTACCTCATCATAGGCTCTTGAATTTAAATTTAAAGTAAAGGGGGGTGGGAGGAGGGAGCCATAAATAAATCTGTTGGGCAATATACTTAGGGAAAACTACCCGCAAAATCCCATTATCCTCAGTTTAATGTGTTTATCTTGTCATTATTGTCAATTATTTAGTGTTAACTAGATTATTATACAATGTTATGTACAATTTTACACGACATTCAAGCCCTGCAAAAAAATTTGATGCACTTTATCAATATTTACCAATTTGACGGTTTGTAATTATGCAATATTTTGTACTCTTTTTAATACTCATACCGTTGATTAGAATTATATTCCCTTTTGAATTTATCATAAATACTTTAAACCTTGAATTAAACCAAATACCTGTAACCAAATTATTGATATATCTGCCGACAACCCACAGGCAAGAGAGAGAGCGAGAGAGGGAGAGAGAGAGAGAGAGAGAGAGCGAGAGAAGGGGAGAGAGAGGGGGAAGAAGAGGACAGATAGAATGTGGGAACGATAGACATAATTTATTGATCAAAAGTGCAATTTAATTCTCTCCATGAATTATGTTTCATGACTTATATTTGTTCTGTTTCTGTTTTTCTTAAATTATTTAATCTACAGTGTTCTATGTACCATGAGTATCATCTGGCTTTTGGAAATTCTTACCCTATTTAGTATTGTATTTTATGTAATTTTAAAACATGCTTGTAAAGTGTGAACAATTCAGCCATTGGCTGCTAATCATATTTTGTTTAATACCATGAATAAATGAATAAATAAAAAAACATTAAATAGCCATTCCTAAGAAAAAATGTATGTCTGTAGATGCCTGTTGGGGTTTGCAATTGAAGGGGAAGTCCACCCTGATATTAAGTTGGTTTTAATAAAAGTACCTGTAGGAAAAGAAGAGAAACAAATTATTGAAATTTTGAGTAATATTTGATTAAAATAGGAATATTTTGAATTTTAATTCATTTTAATAATTTTTGGCTCAAACTGTCACTGACCTGTTTTTCTCATTTTCTGCTTCTATTCAAACCAACTTAATATCACGGTGGACATCCCCTTTAAATTATAATACTTATTAGTGTATGTAAGATTTTGAACTTACCACATCTTTATATACACCTAGCCCAGTGAATACATAACCTGCCATGGTGTGTGCTGTCATGGATGAGTCTATTGACAGAAATGACATTCGACCCCTCGCCAAGGCTGCAGTATCTAGGTCCTGACTCTCAAAGGATACTTCAACCAACAAATCCACATTCGAGCTGCCTCGGATGTCACCCTGTACCATGCATTTCATGACATGGTGTGCAATGGCTTTGTCCCGTGATACAGTGAAGTACAGGAGATACCCAAACTCTTCCTTTCTAGGCAGCACTACTTGCTCAATCAGTCTGTTGAATTCATTGTGATCTAATTCAAACAGGGAAGCAAGATGGACCCCAGCCATGTACTCCTGAAAGAGTTTGTGTGGAAAGAAGATAGTAGACTGCAGGTACTTACTGCTCTTATCATATAACGATGACAATTTTTTCTCCTGAGACAACACCCCTACTCTACAAGCTGTTTCAATGGAGTCTGAGCACTGTTCAAAATCACCTTCTTTGAAACTTAGGGTGTTTTCTTGTAGCCCGGTGAAAGCAACTTTGGCAACTGGTTCCATGAGCTTCTCAATTTGAGAGCGAAAGGCTTGGAAATCTTGGCTGTCTAAATCTGTGATCTCTTTCTGAGCATAATGCACCTTCAAGAATTCAAAGATTTCATCAAATATTTGAGAAAAAGTTTGTAATGACTTCAACTTTTCTTGTTTTTCGTCACCAAGTTCTCTCCACATAAGACAGAGCATAGCTATGTAGATAGGATACGGGGCCATATTCTCAGATATGATGACATTGTCTTTGGTTAATTGGATAAGCTGATCTGCTTTGGCCCCATCATCTTGAAAGTACTTGTGAATGTACACCTCCACATTCTCCTTACTAAACCCTTCTACAAACATGAAAGTGTACAGTTTCCGTAGACTATTGTCCCATCTAATCTCTTCGACCTTCCATGGGCGACTTGTCACAAACACCGGGCAAGCAGCAAGCTCATCTGAACTAAGAATGTCTCTAAGTGCAATGCCACCTCTGTCTGAAGCACTTCCACTTGCCTCTGCACTGTGGACCCTTGGCTGCAAAGTGTCACTTGTTAGGGTTGATGACTTTGGCTGGTGACATTCTGACTTTGTACCAGCTTTCCTTTGCTGTATAACCTTGCCATCAAGCTCATCTAATCCATCAAACGCAATGAATACATCTTTTGGATTTGAACGGATGTACTCAGTGATCTGGCAGGCTGTTGCTGGATTGTCCTTGGAGAGATAGAACTTGACAATCTCACCGATCGTGTATTGTTTGGCTTCACGAAAAGGGATAACAAGTACCCACGAGAACTTTGGGAGAACAGGATTCTCAGTTATCCAGTCCCAGGCAATCTTAGAACAGAATGTTGTCTTTCCAGCCCCAGCCTCTCCCTGAATCATGATCCGCTTGGGAAACTCTCCATTGACTTTGTGATTAAAGAGATCCCTGTACGTAAGTGGTCGCTTGCCTTTACGATATTCCTCTTCCAGGACAAGGTTAACAAACATGTCGTCAAATTGCACAATGGAATCAGGGTCGAGAGGATCAGCTCTGATCTTACAGAAAGTTGTCCGGTATTTGGATTTCAAATCTTCTGCACATTTCTTGATCAGGTCAGGAGAAAGTGGTTGAGTCTGTGATCCTGACATCGTAGCAGGTGCACCTATAAATTTAAGAACAGAAGTGTGAAAACTTTTCTGTCAATCAAAATGTTTCATTTGAGGATAACATACACATGATACCTAGGGGTCAAAACCCCATTTTGGGGGGTTTTGAGACATGGCGTATTGTAAAAGGTCGTTTGGTCTCAACGTGTGCGGGGGACCTCCCTGCACAATTTCTAGGTGGACTACCTTTGCAATTTGCTACTGGAAAAAACGGCGGCTTTTGGAGAAAAAAAAATGGCGACTTTTTTCAAAATGGCCGCCATGTATAACTAGTGTTGTACAATTTGGGGGATTACTTTTTAACAGTACCTTATTTCACCATGTGTAAGGTGTCATATGAAAGAAAATTAATTTTTCTACAAGATGATACCTCATTCAATAGGTTTGGGAATGATTTGCATTATAATTTTGAGCCAAAAATGTAAGTTTTTACAATTTTTTCAGAAATATGAATTGTGCCAAAATACATATTTCTCCATATTTAATTGATTATAATGCTAACTGACTTGATACTTGCTGACAAACTGTTCAGAAACATGGTTGATATCATATGCAAATCGCAAGTCTATTGCTTTTATAACTAAAAAGTTATAGCGCTCTAAAGTTGACATTTTGATTTGAGCCAAAATGGCAAATTTGGTTGCTAAGGGCTGTCTTCTCCTTAGCAACGGTAACATAGTGATGTGAAAAACAGAATATATCGCGAGAAGAAGCTATTACTGAGCAGATGACTACTGTGATAGGAATTATGATGTCAGATGATGCATTTTCATCATATTTTAATGATATATATCGCTTAGTTCCCGTTGCTATGGTGATAATATGCTTAGCAACCAATATATAATGAGTTCTCAGAGTCAAATAAGGATATAGATCAGATAATACATAAAATTAGACCTGTTGCAAGTGGCAGACATAATTTTCCATCCTAAACATGTTCATAGTGCATGGTTTGGTTCAGAACTTTCAACCCCCCCCCCCCCCCATCCTACCCCCATCAAAAGTAATTTTGGGATGGGACAGTATGTTGTGTAGGACATGATGTGTGTTAAAAAATGATGCAGGATTTCTGTCAAGTGATATATAAAATGAGATCTGGATCCAGGTGATAGTCATGATTTTCAGTCTGAATCATGAAGATAATGGGTGGTAGGGTTCAGAATGTGCACCCTTCCCTTCATCTGTGACCCTCCCCCCTCGCCTAGAATAAAATTAGAGCAATTAGTGCGCAGCTATATTAATAAAGTAAGTGGCAAATGAAAAAGAGATAAAATAATCTTCACGCAGCATTTGCAATCTCTTGGTAGGCTATAATAGTTAATTTATCTGTCTGTGTCAGTGGGTTATACTTCTTGCCGTGCCACCCCCTCCATAGTTTTCATCTCAAAACTTTGGCATAATCCAATCGCTACAAAGCTATTAGAAAAAACTGGACGCTTTAGTTCAAAACTTGTACTCCCGTTTTATTTTTTGGTAGATTGAAAGACATTGACGAAAGTCATCAGAACCTGCAATTCAAACTCCACTACCGTTCCTGTCAATACCCCTCCCCGGCCCAGCTCTTCATACTCGCAAAATTAATGAGAGAAACTGATGCAAAGCACCATTTATTTAAAAGTACACTTCATTTTATAATTTTATAAATAGATCATGAAGAATCAAATGATACAGGGAAAAGCTTGAAATTATTCACTCTTCTGTTCCCTTCTAAAATTCTAAATAAATCTAGATAAATAAATCATGAATCAAAATCTAATCTCCAGTTTTGTGACAGAAAATGATTATCAGGACATTACCGAATAATACGAGACTCAACAGGATTTACACTCTGAAACATTTCCATGTACATACTTAGTCTTGGTTTGCATAGCTTGCACCCCCCCCTCACCCCTTCCGTGTCGCAAGCCCATCCAACCTCCTCTAGTTAAAAGCAATAGATATTAGTGCCAGGTACAATATAATTTTGAAAAATCAGTGTTAATCGTTTATGCCTAGATTGTTAAAGGCAAGTATATATGCCAACATTATATCCTTCTTGCTTCCCTCTTTTTCTAAAGTTTGACAAAAGTCAAAATAACCTGAGAGTTGGATTCATAAGACAGCAGGGTGTAAACGATTTAAGAGATTTGTAATAATCAGGGGCTTATAAGGGGAAAGGGGCCAATGTGCAAGTTATATACACACAAACAAAGTTTTTTAAAAATCAAATGAGGAAATAGCGAGGAGGCTTAGCAGAGAAAGCATTTACCGGTAGTTTCAACTAATTTGGTGAGGTTACAATTTGGTAGGTAATGATGTAACATAACATACATCCTTTATGAATAACTTAAAGTCTTTGAGCATTCCTTCTGATTTGTTGAAACTGAACCTTTATGAGCATAATGATGCTGCATTCAGGCGGCTTTTGGATGAGCTGGAAGCTCCTTTCATTTTTTACCTGATATGTATCACTCCGTGACCAAGAAAATTGTTAAATAACTTGATGTAGATATGACAGCTTAATACCGGACGACTATACACTAAAACGGGAGTTCCAGAGTATATCAGTCCTAGATCAGAGACGTGGTTCAAAACTTATATGTGATTATGCACCGATCACACCCACACCACCAATGATGGCTAGAGCACCTAATGGAGGAGATAATATCAAACTCCACACACTCTTATAAGAACCAAAGATTTGTGCGAACACATTGTGAAAAATCGAAGATGGAAATCAATGAAAAAATTTCAACTGAGATTTCCCTCACACAACTGCCCCGATACAACAATGACCCGATACCACAATAAAGTGGCGCCTAGAGCAATCAATGTAACTGCGCCCCAACCCCATTGCCCAAACTTATCTACATGTACGTAACTGCACAAGCAAGTGAGTAAAGCGACAGCCTTAGGAATTTTGCAAGGGAGCAAAGTGATCAAAGTGGTTTTCTATTCATTTCTACTTAAATGATGAACAAAATTAACGAACACTTCGGTCAAGGAATATAGCAAGGTAACCCAAAGATAAGATTTTTTCAAGAGTTGAAGTTTGTTTCAAAGGTTGAAACATGATTTTCTTTTGAGAAAGTTGAATCCCATTGCAAACATTCAGTTATTTAGGGTGCAATATCTCACAAGAGGCTGGTGAAACTTATAAAAGGGGGCAAAGCAATGGGAATTACTTTTTGGTGTCAAATTTGGAGCTATTTAAAAAGTGTTAATTATAAACTATGCCCTATATCTATATTTGTATGCAAAATTATGAGACCCGTGCGACCTACTAATGCGAGCCAAGACCGAGCTTTAACAAAAATTATATTTCTAAGGCATTTAGCCTCTCATATTGGGGCACATGTTTTCAATGCGATCAAAATTGTTCTTCTTTTCTCCCTTTAGTTTTCTCTCTTTTACGTTTTTGTGTGCCCCCTTTCTGTACTCTCTTCAAATGCACGTACCCCCTACCCCCATAGAGATGCCATTGCATTCCAAATAGATATAAATATGTGGGTTTGTGATTGGTTGGAGAGCTTTCGGTCAAACTGGATTAATCATCAATCTTAATTAAGACAGTGAACTGGACTCGTGTATTTTCACTGATGACGTTCATTGGTTTCTTGCAGAAGTCTATACTTGTAAAATTTGGGTAAAAGTCCATAAGGAGAGAGGGATTCCGAGACACACACAATGAGTTGGGCATTGGCATTTATATTCCCTTGGCCTTTGAAAGATTTAAATAATTTGACAAGACTCCTTTTCCCCATCATAATGTAATTCCAAATTGTAAACATTTAGAAAGTACACTTAGTTATGGTAAAAATGTCATTTTGTCATGAAAAATACACCAGATTATATGTATTCCAGCACCTAGTCGCATACTGGGATATGTCGTTATTCTAGCTTGTTGCTGCCTGGATAAGAGGAGGCGATTACCCAATATATGGATAGGTTCAAAATGGGCAGGGGAGCTGCACCCCCCTCCCCCACTCCAACTCATCATTTGATTTGATTCCGACCTCCAAGGATCTATTTTTTTAGAGAATGATGCCAGTCTATCATTTGAATTCATGTCTCTAACTATCTTACGCTTAATAGCAGGTTAATGAATTTATTGTACAAAATAAATTATTGGGGTCAATGACATTGACAAACTTTCCCATTAGATTTCAAATGCATTGAGAAGATTCATTGGGGAAAAAATACTGGACCAATTTTGTTTTTATTGCATTGTACTCTAAGAATATAGCTTTGTACAAACTGCTCATATTTTGTTCTAGGAGTGTGTGTGGGGATGGGTCACAGAAAGGGGGTAGGGTGCACATTCTGAACCCCTTTATCCATTGTCTTCATGATTCAGACTGAAAACCATGACTATCTTCTGGATCCAGAACTCATTTTATGTATCACTTGATCGATAGCCTGCATTATTTATGAACACACATCATGTCCTACACAACAAACTGCCCCCATCCCAAAATTACTCTTGATTTTAATGGGGGTGGGGGGGGGGGGCTTCAATGGGGGGAGGGGGTAGGGTGAAATTTCTGAACCACACCGTGCGCTATGAACATGTTTACAATGGCAAATTATGTCTGTCACTTGCAACAGGTCATATTTTATGTATTATTTGACCTATATCCTATTTGACTTTGATATATTGGTTGCTAGGCATATTATCACCATAGCAACGGAAATTAAGCGATATATTTCATTAAAATATGATGAAAATGCATTATCTGACATCATACTTCCTTTCAAAGTATTCATCTGCTTGGTGATAGCATCTTTTTGTGATATATTCTATTTTTCACGTCACTATGTTACCGTTGCTAAGGAAAAGACAGCCCTTAGCAACCAAATTTGCCATTTTGTCTCATAACAAAGTGTCAACTTTAGAGCGCTATAACTTTTTAGTCAAAAAAGCAATAGACTTGAAATTCGCACATGATATCAACCATGCTTCTAGACAGTTTTAAAGCAAGTTTCAAGTTAGTCAGCATCATAATCGATTAAATATGGACAAATTTATGTACTTTGGCGCAATTCATATTTTTGAAAAAAATTGTAAAAAATGACATTTTTTGCTCAAAATTATTATGCAAATCATCCCCAAACCTATTGATTGAGGTATCATCTTGTGGGAAATTCAATTGTCTTTCATATGACGCCTTACACATCGTTCCTATTTTAATGAAGTGACGATAATGAGGAAAATCCGCACACAAATTGTTCGCGATTTTCATTCACTACCGTCACTTCGTGAAAATAGGGACGACACAGTATAATGAGGTACTGTTAAAAAGTAATCTCCATATTTGTAGAACAGTATTTATTCATGGCGGCCATGTTTTTCCAGTAGCATATTGCAAAGGTAGTCCACCTAGAAATTGTGAAGGGAGGTCCCCTGAACACGTTAATACCCAACAACATTTTACAACATTCCATGTCTCACGAACCTGCTGTGCCCCCTGGGTATGAACATATAAACAAATTTCTGATGTATTTACTGTTCGTCAACTTCAAATTTTCATTTTTTTAGTTCTGCTGTTTGAGGGTGTCATCTGGACTAAGATTCAATAACAATAACAATTAAACCTTATGAATTACAACTTACAAAGCAATTCCACGTGATATGGAAAGAACTTACAGAAATGTAGTCTTCCTTTTGTTTTGTACACAAAATCAGAAATTTTCCATAAAGTCACAAAAGATTAAAGACTCTGTAATGGTACAATTTTCATAAACTTTGTGTCAAAAGATGTACACGACTTGAAGTAAAAACAAAAATAAGTCAAAAAGTGGCTGGGCTTGAAATGACGGAAAATTAAAATTAAAATCTTTGTACAGCTTCATGTGAAACTAATTCAATCATCTCCCTTACACAGCACAAAGTGAGTGGGTCTGTAACCATGTATTAATGACCACAGCCCATGAGACCGACAGCCCACAAGACCGACAATATCTGTCTAGCAAACCATCTGAAAAGTTGTTAGAAGGTCCATGAGACCAACGACCCATAGACTGACAACCCACAAGACTGACATGTTTGTCTTGTGGGTGTTCTGACAACTATTTTTTTAAGGGTTCAACAGACCGGCAGTATCAGTCTCATGGGCTGGTCGTCTACTGGGATGTCCTGCTATAAAATAAACCCTATTTGTACCAAACCAGGAAGTGTCAAATTAGTGTTTGTTGGCTGTCTGCAAGAGCAATACATTATCAATGGCTGTAAAGGCCTTCTTGCGGGCAGCCGACATGATTTCCTTCTTTTTCTCACCTGTCCGCTTCAGGACTAGACTGCCAGCGAGTAGTTTGCCAGAGAGGGACCCTAAGTCACTTCTTTCTAATCCCTCTGCTAGAAGAGCCCTGATGTCTGTGCCTGGAGGCTGTTTGTCTCTCCATCTCGTGAAGACTGTCATCAATGCATCACTGGTATTTAGGCTACGTTCCTTGATATGATCAAGCTCTGTAATGGAGATCTTCAGGTGAACGCCCACCTTGTTGTAGTAGCTTGGGCCAATTTGCTCGGACAGCTTTATAAATTCCTCCTCACTGACAATACTGTAATTTAAAAAAAAGATTTTATCAAGCATCTTGTATCTCTAAAGTATCTTGTATTGTGTTGTAACCCCTACTGTACATTCATTTAAGCACCAGTTTTAAGTTTAGTTCAGTAGCCGATGAGCATCCATACGAAACAGACTGTACAACTAACTACATGGAAAAAATAAACTACTCCAACCTACAAAATATGTACACTAGCTCCTACAGTTGAGCACTGTCAGTACCTGCAGCTTCATGTGCATACTACCTGTTTTTATTAAGCTACATGTACTGATAAGATTTATTTAAAGGTATGTTGAAGCGTACACACACACAAGACATATACCTCATTTAGCAGTGCATTTGAATATATGCAATAAAAATTGGCATGCATGTATGTGATGTTATGCTCTGATAATAGGAAAAGTACTTTATTATCCCTACTGCTCATTACTATTGCAATAAAGAAAAGGAAATAAGCTTCAAATACATATAGACTGACCTGTCTGGTCCAGGGTTGGTTTCAACATCACCAGATCTCATCAGGAGAATCATGAGCAGATACAGAAGGCAGAATCCATCCATGGTTCCAGATGTCCTTCTCAATCGACAGAAACTCGGTCCGCTGGAAAGGCACATTAAAGCAAACCCCAGCAAGATATCCTGTAATTGGCAAAAAGAGGAATTCCGCAGTTTACTATGCAAATTGAAGTGAATTAATTTGAAAGGAATTTATTTATTCACCACCATTGAAAACATTGAAACAAAAGATCCTAAATATAAACATCACATGAATTAAAATAAATGTTCTACAGCAATTAAATAATAATTTTTTTAAAATAGTTACGGTATAAGCAAGTTTAGTGTCAAGAGTAAAACAATAAATGACTATTTACAAGTAAATTACTCATATAAGTGAGTAGTGACATACGTGAATGTACAATGTACATAAAATGGTTCACTTTTACACTTTTTCCCCTTATCCAAATATTTGCCTCCTGACTTGACTCGATCTTGCGATTTAACACTGAACTTTATTCAAAGATAAAAGGAGCTGAAATGTATTTTGAAGATCTAGCTTATATCCAGGAAGGGGGCCGGGAGGGGTGAATGGGTGTCCCTATGTTCTGAAGAGAGACAAAATACACATTTAAAGGATTTATGAAATAAAGCTAATTTAATATCATATTGAGATTATGATTGTGTACACGGTAGGGTGTAAATACAAAGAAATACTAGTAGAGTATTATGGAAATTAAAATAGAGACCGTGGTGATATGAGATGCTGTGAATTCTTTACGGTCTTTATAGGGCGAAAACAGAATCTGGATCATTGTGTTTAACTGACTCCTACCAATTTAAAGTAAAGCAAACCATAATTGCCACTCCTCTTACAGTAATCAGAAAAATCAAAGGAGAAAGGTGAAAGTTGAAACAAAATCAGACCAATAATAAGAGAGTTATGAATGTCTGAAATATGAGATCTCTATATCTATGTGAATCTCGAATTGGCAATTTGGTCAGTGGATTGTGATGTAATCAAGGACAACTCTTCCATTTATTGTGTGCGAAAATAACATTTATTACCCTTCTCATTCTCCACTAGGGACTATACAATTGATTTTTCCTTTAAACCTTAATGTTTAACAGACTCGTCGGCTTCAGCTGATGTAGATGCACCATGCATGAGTGATATATATATACAGTGTGTCCAAAAAAAAAGGAAACCAAAAAGTATCCATGTTTTATAATAACTTAATCACAACTACAATTAATAAATGACCCATATTTGTAAAGCTTAGATCCTCTTCTTTCATTTGATGCTACTCATATGACACAAATTTTATGCATTAGTGATTCAAAGTAATTTGAAGGAAGGATGAACTTTCTAGAAATGTGATTTTTGTTCTTTGAAATTCAGATACCCGCCGAATGATTTTTTAGTTTTCTTCCGCACTGTATATTTAGCAAGCCCATACAAACTTTTTTTAAGGGCAGGTTCTTAGGGCTGCCAACTTTAAGCCAGAGGTGAGAGTGAGATATTGCGAGGGAGCAAAGTGACTGAGCAGGGGGAGGGTATGGGAGCTTTTACATTTTTAAACTTGAAATTGTGCAATGTGGTACATACTGTACCTAGTAAGGAAATTTGGGCTTAAGATTAATTGTATCTACGTAATCGTATTGTGATTTGATCGACCAAAATTTTTGAATAGATTTTTCATGAAGAAAACACATAATTGACAAACTAATAAATATTTTTATTTTTTTTTAACAATTTTGTTTTATTTCTCCAGATGTGTAATACAAACCATGACATACAATTGAATAAAATAAACATGTTCAATATTGATACTTTTACATAAACATAATTAAACACAAACTTATTTGCAGTATCATATAACTTAGCAACAAAGTAAACGTATAAGTACCTAAACATAATATGTCAATTGTAAATGTTATTTACTTATATATTACAAAAAAAAACAAATCTGGAGACAATTTTACTGAAACAATCCTGCCCCCTCCCTGCCCCCTCCATCACACAGACATACTCACCCACTCACACACATACTCACCCACCCACCCACCCACCCCCCCCCCCACCCCACACACACACACAGTACTCACTCAGTGGATGTCTGCCAACATTCTCAACTTAAGAAAAATATACTAAATAAGTTATCCAGGCCGCAAAACCGAGTTACGCTTTTAACAAGCTCACGGTGGAGAAGAAAGCAAATCTTAATTAATCTTTAGCTGCTCCCACTTTAAAAAATGTGATCCTAGCTTTCCCATTTTAATTGCTATTTTCTTTTCCTCATCCCTATACTTAAAAATGCTTTTTTTCATCTTTTCTAAAGTTAGTACTCGCCCCCCCCCCCCCCCCCCCCCCGATCTTGACATAAATGTAACATACTTCACCATGAAAATGATAGTATTACACATTTTTATTCTATATGAACTACCTACCAACCCAACAAATATATCTCGCCATTCTAAATCTTTAATTTCATCTAACTCAAAAAGTTGTATTAAAGCCTGCCATAACCTTTGAACGCTCCCACAAGATAAAAATAAATGTTTGTATGTTTCTATTTCCTGCTTACAAAACGAACATAAATTATCACCAACAAAACCAAATCTATGAAGATGCTCATTAGTGTATATGGCTCCATGCAATAATTTAAATTGAAATTCACGTTGTTTTCTAATGAGTATAGTAATTCTTGGTCTAACAAATATTTCTTTTATTTCTTTATCTATAAAATCATAATCATTTTGCCCATCCCTTACCTGCAAATCATACGTTCGTTGCAGTGCTTTGATGAAATAATCATAGATTGTTCTTGAACCCACATCCACAAATTGTATTTTTTTACTAGAAATATGGAAATAAGTATTAAAGCTTATCAAATCAACCTCGAGGAATTCTATTAACCCTGAATCATCCTTCCATAACCTGGGTATCGCATCATAAATATCAATAATCATAAGCAAATTATTACCTTTCATACCGAGGTTCATAAAATATTTAACAGGAAGGACACACACACAACACACACACACACACACACACAAACAAAAATAGTATATTAAGTAGTGTCATACACAGTTCCAACATAAACCATATGCCAAATACATACATGTATGATTCAGTTACATACAGCCAAGACCGAGTTCAGAGGAGCAAAGCGTCCAAGGGCTGGGGCAGAGCCAGAGGAGGGTGGTTTGGGAGGGGGTATCCCCCTCCCGGGCTCTCACGGTAAGGGAGATATTGCATTTATTTACATATAATAATGGTGCAATTTGGTGCATGTAATCTCATCCCTCAGTGGGAATTATGGAATCTGAGTTACAATGTTACATGTCATGATTAAAAAAACCAAAGAAACATGGCTATGCTCTTATCAGCTGTTTATGGTTCAAACATAATCAAATAATATTTACACAAACATGACACAAATCTGACACTAATATGCCATAATATAAAAACAAAAGTGGCAATACAGTACGGTATACCCTTGACTTGCAGGGGTGGGCCTGGCCTGACATATCAGAATGCTGCTGAAATTACTCCCGTAGTGCAGTGGCCAGCGTGGCAGCCGTGGTGCGCATGGTGCTGCAAACACTCACAAAATGACCCCTGGGTGACCGTATACTTTTGGTATAGTTACAAGTTTTATATATGTATCATATAGAAGACAATACTTCAATTTGATGGAGGAGCTTATAAATGGATATAAAATAAATCAAAATCTCTGTAGGCCTAATCTTTAAGGGATTGGGTAACTTTATCTCAGCTTCTGAAACAAAATCCTGGATTTAGCTCATGCTGCATTGATAATCATAAACCTTTAGGTCAGTCAGTAACCCCATGACTTTTACAAGTCGATTGCCTGTCTGATTATCAAGATATTTATGAGTGGAAATCAAAATTTAATTTGGCGTTTTCTTAACGGTTTTCATAACACTACAGTCTATTGGGGAAAATGAGTACCGGGTATGGTAAAACCGGTCACTCAATTTTCTAAAACTTTTTTGAGGCACTTCTGTGATCATTTTGAAGCACGTGATTTTTTTAAACACAATGTATCTCAGATTTAACATTGTTAAACGATGCATTTTATAAGCTAGTTCGTAATTAGCCACTGGAGTCGTATGACGTCAACGTGTCATAGCTAGGTCACATGAGCATAATATCTCCAAACGCCCACAAGCTTGTGTGTTTAGCGTCTATACTATGGGATGGTGGGAAGAAGGAAACAAATCGTGTGATGCAATAAACTTATGAAGTGCTACTGCGCGGATCGGATCGAAGCGAATGGTGGTTTCATAATTTTTCCTTTTTTCCTATTTCACGAAAGTATCTTTTCTGTGTACAGCCTTGGCAGCTTGCATGGCTGATGGAATTCAAGATTCTACGTCAATAGTGAGAAATTAGCTGAAAATATGAGGCAATGACTGCGACATTGGGATTGTTTTAATGCCACAACCTTTACTTTAATTGTTTATGACAAAGTCTATGATGGCCGACCATTGCCACATCCTATGTATCGTGCGGGTGCATCTCTTATATTTACCTCATGAGGAATCCCCTCAAATTTTATGGCATACCGTATTTGCCAGCTTAAAGGCCACATTTTTTCGGAAGAGAAAATATCAAAAAGTTTGGGTGCGGCCAACAGTTGAATTCGGCAGTCAAAACAGCACGTATTTGTACATATATGGGACCAACCTAAGTACAATGATTATACCAGTTAATGTACAAACAGTACAATGGTACAGGACATTTCTAGAATAACTCCACACATGACTTACTGACAATTTGGTTATATTGTTGACATGAAGTTTTGTCAATCTCGTGAATAAACTTCATAACTCACCAACCAAAAACTACGGTAGATCTAGATCTAAGTTCGTGCCACAGCTAATGCCTAGTTCACACCGACGCCGAATGTCGCGCTTTAAATCGGCGATCAATTCGGCGTCATTTTTTCAAAAAATCTCACGATCTCCTGAGATATGTTATGCTAAGTTCACACCGACGCTGAATTGATGGCGAATTAAATCGGCGGCAAAGCGTAACAAAGCTTAATTAAAGCGTAAAGACCGTAATAGAGCGTGAGAAAGCTTTGAGCAATTCGGGACATTCGGCAAGAGCGCCAAAAATTCAAACTCTGTTAAGCTTTCCTACGCTTTGAGCAAAACTTTGATAAGCTTTGTGACGCTTTGATAAGCTTTAATACGCTCTCCCCGCTTTACGCAATTCGTGACAGATCGCCTCAAATTTTTAAACAGCTTAAATTTTTTTGGCGCTCTTGCAGAATGTCCCGAATTGCTCAAAGCTTTCTCACGCTCTATTACGGTCTTTACGCTTTAATTAAGCTTTGTTACGCTTTGCCGCCGCTTTGCCGCCGCTTTGCTCGCCGATTTAATGCGCCATCAATTCGGCGTCGGTGTGAACTTAGCATTAAGCAACCTCAATCCTCGCAGCCGCACCAATCATGCCAAACTATTGCGCAATACACAATCGACTGGCGGCTGGAGAGAAGGCTGAAATAAGACGCCATCTGGCTTGCTGCCTATGGTGTCGGCAAAAAAGCAAAACAAAAAAGTTTTTAAAATATTTAGAAAAAATTATAATCATTTTTTTGTGTCTACAAAATGTTAAAGTAGGGGGTGCGGCCTATACGGCGCTGCGGCCTTAACGCAGGAAAATAAGGTATGCCAATATGCAGCTGTAGGCTAGCGTAGAAATGAATGGAATAGCTGAATGAGAACAAAGACATTTTTGTTAATCGAGTATCTGCATGTTGTGGTCATTGGTCACAATCTTAATCGATTTCTTCATATCTGACTGCCATTTTTTATGTGCAATTTTTTCCTATATGGTAGTTATTATATTCTTCATTATGTTGTAAGTTGGCATTTTATATGTTTTAAAGTTAATAGGGATTATGTAGTGCAAAGGTGCCCTGCTTCTCCAGCCAATAGGGACTTTTAGATTTGCGCATTGACATAGTGGACTGCTACTTGTGACGTCCTTTTAAGGCACTGTGAAGTCCTTTTATACTGCCAGTGCCTTAAAAGGACGTCACATGTAGCAGTCCACTACATGTATGTCAACATGCAAATCTAAAAGTCCCTAATGACAAATCGTTTCCCTCTTTTCTGGGTGTATTTCTATTACTCATTTGGAGTACCCCCTATTCCCATTGAACTCTTTGGCTTTGCATGAGTGCATTTCTGTTGTGTTGGGTTGGCATCGGTGAATGCTCTTTATGTACAAAGTTCACCATAAAACGAAATGAATATATTTTTCAAAAATACAAAAATGAGAGATACAACACGTGCCGTAAAGTATTTTGGTGACAATAGTCAAATTACTGACTAATTGCCTATAAACCAAAACACAACAACAACAATAGTGGGTTCTTGTATAGCACTCATGTCTGTCAGACTTGACACTCCTGGCGCTCCCGATGATTTAAATTTTTTTGTCATAGGTTTGGACACTACGCAAAATGTTTTGCTCTGAGTAGGATCCTCCGCAAAGATTAGAGTTGTGGCCCTGTCGCCAGTTGCGAAAACTGTCTATTAAAATCATGTAGAACCTTAAATTCATTTAATTCAATACAAAGAAAGCATTTCTTTCAGAGTACATTGTTAGATCTTTTCCCAGTGCTTAATTAATATTCATTATTATTTTCAATTTCCTATAAAATATCCATCACTATATTTATAACTCCTGTATACTTATATAATTTTTTGGTGTCAAACTTATTTACACCAGCGTATTTTCATTTTTATTTTCATCATCATCATCAACATCATCCCCATCACCAGATTTTGTTTTAATTTTTGGTCATCACCACCCCCCACCCCCCCCCCCCCCCAGGGTTACGTTACCCCGGGCTATCACGCTATCAAGCAATCGCTTAATGTTATAGCCTTTCTTCTTCTGCAACTTTCTAAATGAATAATTCTTGTTATTGTATTAAAGTTAAATTACCGGTATGTTTTCATGTCATCAATTAATTTTATTATACAGTGCATCCCAGAAAAAACAAAACCGAGAATTATCAATGTTTTATCATAACTTACCATAATCACGATTAAAATTAACAAATGACACATATTTGTATTAAAGCTTAGATCCTCCACTTTCATTTGATGCATGAGTGATCAAAATCAATTTGAAGAAATGGTACCAAAGAGTCATTTGGGGGATGGAATCTAAATTTCGAAGAGAAAATCACATTTCCAGAAAGCTCATTTTCTGCCTTTTCATATGACACCTCAATCAGGAAAAATGAGGTAGGACAAGTAGGAATAACCACACATACATTACTGTCCTGGCTGTGTATTAAAAGCTGTGCTATTGATTCTCAACATTTCAAACACCACTGTAACAATTGATGACATCTAATTGGCAGTAAAATACAATTGTTTCAACTTACCGATGTTAGAAAGAATAATTAAAAAATTTAAATTGCGAGTCTACTGTCAAACTTGCCGCATTTTAGTGTTGTGAGTGTATTGACTATCAATGTATTCAAATGCTGCCTATATAACACGTAGTGCAGTGCTATACTAGAGGTCAATACGCATTAGCATTGACTCACTTAGACCGAAAACTTCAGTCTCTCTAATCGTCGGTTGTTCCACTGAGACTACGTCTGGCTCCACTAGACCTCCGATTATAGAGACTGAAGTACGGCCTATGGGGACCGTGAGGGTAGAGTGAACAAACAGAGATGAACGAAATACTCCGAGGTTTTTCTCTTTTTACTTCTTCAACAAATCTAATTTTGCTGCCATTCTACAGCCCCCGTGATCTATACAATAACTAAAACTTAAATATATACTTTGACTTACGATAGCTTGCTTATTCAGCTCCAAAATTAATGATTAGAGTCTTATCCGAGAAAGTCTCCTAGTCGTTGTCAGCCATCTTGGTTTTAGTTGATGAATATTAATTTTTTTCTTTGCGAACGTCCAATAGCTACCGTAGCTACGTACAAGTCAGCCCGGCTTGACCCACGAAACGAGTGCTCTGATTGGCCATTGGCTATGTTTTGGTAGGTTGACCCGGAAATATATCGGCCGCCGGGTCATATAGCTCTATGTTCGAGTGCATGAACTTACGGTTTCACAGTTCTGAGACGAAAATGGGACAATTTGTATGAGATTTCAATTAAAAATATGTAGTGTAAATAGGAGAACACTACTTATACCCATTTTACATCCGATTTAGAAATCAGAAAATAAGATCTAGATCTAGAAAATCGGGGGAGAAATGTCATGGTCGTGAGATCTCTGGGTCACCGTCTGTATTGGGGAATGTCAACAAATGTCAGTTCTATTAAAGAAATGACCCAAATCAGACGGTTATTTCTGTCTATGACTCGCTATGCTTTGCTGGAGTGGGAATCAAAATTAAATACTTGCATTTCTATAATTTTATTACACAAATTCGTTTTCACTGGCTGCCTGCCATAGCAACAAACAGAATCGACAAAAGACTTAACTCCGTTTCGTTGACGATCAGCCATAGACGAAAAAAAAGTTAAAGAAAGATATCCCCATCCCCATACTTACCAGGTCGTAATTTTCTGTGGCTACAGCTACATCGAGGTTTTGGCAACTACTCGTTCGTCCGCATGCACAAATGCCACAAGTATGTGTAGCGTTTATGGGGTGGTGGGAAGCCGGGAACAAATACGTGTGATGCAATGCAGCGCTCCTGTGTTGATCGGATCAGATCTAGAGCGAATGCGGAATGGTGGTTTTCCTATTTCACGAAAGTGTCATTTCTGTCTACAGCCTGGGCATGTAGCTTGGATGATGAAAATCAAGGTTCTACATCAATAGTGAGAAATTAGCTGAAAATACTACGCAATGGCTGCGACATTGGGATCGTTGCGCACGTATTGCTACTACTTGACTTGTCTGGGCATGATGTCCACGGCCACGCCCTACTTGTATCAAGCGTGTGCGCGCGCTCTTTTCATTACCTCATGGGGAATCCCCTTTTATGGCCTATGCCCAGCCTATGCCAATATGCGGTTGTAGTGTAAACATGAGTTGAAAAGCTGAATGAGAACAAAGAAAGGTTTGTTGCAATCGAGTATCTGCGAGTTATAGTCATCGGTCACAATCTTAATCAAATTCTCTTCACACCTCACACCTGTGCATTTTCCCCTAGTTTTCCCATCTTCATTATGTAATTGTTGTAGATTGGAATTGTATACACTATGAACATGACGACAAAGAAAGCGGACAAAATATACAGTTCCTCAGGTAGACAAAGGAACATCCCTTCACTGCTATTATGTAAAAAGGTGAATATGCATGTGACACCTGTTCTACACATTTTTACATAATAGCAGTAAAGGGATGTTCCTTTGTCTACCTGAGGAACTGTATATTTTGTCCGCTTTCTTTGTCAGTCATATTCATAGTGATATATTGTAAATTAAATAGGAAGTATGTGGTGCAAAGATGCCCCTCCCCTGCTTCTCGAGTCAATGACAAATTGTTACCCTCCTTTCATGGGGGTATCTCTATTACTCATCTGGAGTACCCCCTATAGGAAAAAGTGGTGGATCTAGGGGGGGGGGGCTGCCCCTGGCCCAAAACAGGTAAATTTAACCTTTTTTGAAGAAAAAAATGAAGACGGGCCCCCTCCCCCTTTCCTCAAGAGGGGTGGGGGGTGGGAGGTGGATGTTGAGTAAACATACCTCCCTCCTCCAACCTATTCGCTTGCTAGCTGATTTGGCGCTCAAGAAATAAACAAATTAGTGTTCACTACCCCTCCCCCACCCCATGAGAAACCTCATTACCCCCCCCCCCCACGCTTATTTGCCGGCTGGCTGATTCGGCGCTAAATATTCTCTCACGAATTGGGAAGAAACAAATTAGTGCTCTTTACCCCCTCCCCCCTGTTGAGAAAGAAAAAATTCCTCTTACCCCTATCCCCCGCCCCCCGCTTATTCGTCGCTAAATATTTTCTCACGAATTTGGCCCCCTATTTGGCCCCTCCCTTGCCGCCGGCTGGATCCGCCCCTGTATAGGGAGTAGGCCTACCGTTGAATCGTTTCCCTCCTTTTGTTGTTGTTGTTGTTGTTGTTGGGTTTTAAGGCTGTCTAATCTGAAAAGATTATTATTTCCGCCTGGCAATACTGTTTTTCGAGTTATTCAGTAATGATTATTAGATGGCGCTGTTTCCTTTTTTTCTGGTTCAAATATTGATTCAGTGAGTTTCACAGCTTCCGTTCAATCGATGGTGTGGACAATAATTTAGATGTCGACCATGAACAGGGTGTAGGTATTAATTAATAAAGGTTGATTGTTCAGTGCTAAACTATACTTTTCTTCCCTACCTCTCCGAGAGAGAGAAGGTGAACATGAAATAATATAAATACAAAATAAAACTTTGGTTTTTAGCAGGGGCGTAGACAACGGGGGGGGGGGGGGGGGGGGGGGGGGGATGAGGAGGATGCATCCCCCCACCTTTTGAGGTGGGGGGGGGGGTGCCACTACCTCACTTGTCTATGATGGCCACTGCCACGCCCTACATATATTGCGCACGTAATGCCACTACTTCACTTGTCTATGATGGCCACGGCCACTGCCACATATATCGAGCGAGCGCGCGCGCTCTTATAATTACCTCATGGGGAATCCCCATTTTATGGCCTATGCCAATATGCGGTTGTAGTGTAGAAATGAGTTGAATAGATGAATGAGAACAAAGCAGGGGCGTAGACAACGGGGGGGATGAGGGGGATGCATCCCCCCCACCTTGTGAGGTGGGGGGGGGGGATGGCATGTACAATCATCCCCCCCAGGTTTTGGGGAATGATATTTGCTTACTTAATAAGTCATAATGATGATAATAATAGTAATAATAATAATGATAACAATTATAATATTAATAATAATAATAATTATGATGATGATAATAATAATCCTCATCATTATTGTAATTGTGTTTATTGTTATTAGCCGCATTCACACGGTGAAAGCCAATTCAGACGGTAAAAAAAAGAAAATCTTACAAGTATTTTGTGGTTATCTTGTGGTTTGGAAACCACAAGATAACCACAAGATTAAACAGGCGCGGATCTACGGGGGGGGGGGGGGGGGGGGGGTTAGGGGGTTTAAACCCCCCCCCCCTTGGGCGGCCCCCCCCCCAAAAAAAAGAACGCACGCTGGAGAGAAACCCTTTCAAGTGCAAATATTGTGAGAAGATATTCAACTCATCTGGTAACTTAACCAAACACATGATAACTCTGGATATAACTGTGTATTTAACTGTTACTTGATTTAAAAAGACATTATCATGCACTGCTTTTTATGGTCTCCATTGTGTTAATAGATGCCAAGAAAACATCACTTACGGGGTTCAAATAAACACCCCCCAAAAAATCGGCTCGCCGCTTCGCGGCTCGTGGACGATGCTCCGCATCGTCATTATTTTGGTCAACCCCCCCCCTTAGCAAAAAGCTAGATCCGCCCCTGAGTCATCCCCCCAGGTGTGCGAACCTGTCTACGCCACTGGAACAAAGACAGGATTGTTGCCAGCAAGTACTAGTACCTGCGTGTTGTGGTCATTGGTCACAATCTTAATCATTTTCTTCACACTTGACTGCCGGTTTTTATGTGCATTTTCCCCTAGTTTTCCTATCTTCATTATGACATTGTTGTAGATTGGGACTTGTATATATTGTAAATTAAATGTGCAAAAATGCCCCTCCCCTGCTTCTCGAGTCAATGACAAATTGTTTCCCTCCTTTCAGGGGGTATCTCTATTACTCATCTGAAGTACACCCTATAGGAAAAAGTGGTGGATCTAGGGGGGGGGGGGGGGCAGCCCCTGGCCAAAAACAGGTAAATTTAACCTTTTTTGAAGAGAAAAAATGAAGATGGGCCCCTCCCCCTTTCCTCAAGAGGGGGGGGGGGGGGGGGCTGGGTGGTAGGTGGATGTTGAGTAAACATACCTCCCCCTCCAACTTATTCGCTTGCTAGCTGATTAGGCGCTCAAGAAATAAACAAATTAGTGCTCACTACCCCTCCCCCACCCCATGAGAAAACACCTCCTTACCCCCCCCCCCCCCCCACGCTTATTTGCCGGCTGGCTGATTCGGCGCTAAATATTCTCTCACGAATAGGGACGAAAACAAATTAGTGCTCCTTAATTACCCCCTCCCCCCTGTTGAGAAAGAAAAAAAAACTCCTCTTACCCCCCCCCCCCCGCGCTTATTCGCCGCTAAATATTTTCTCCCGAATTTGGCCCCCTATTTGGCCCCTCCCTTGCCCCGGCTGGGAATACCGTTGAATCGTTTCCATCCTTTTGTTGTTGTTATTGTTATTGGTGTTGTTGTTGGGTTTTAAGGCTGTCCAATCTGAAAAGATTATTTCCGCCTGGCAATACTGTTTTTCGAGTTATTCAGTAATGATTATTAGATGGCGCTGTTTCCTTTTTTCTGGGTTAAATATTGATTCAGTGAGTTTCACAGCTTCCGTTCAATCGATGGTGTGAACAATAATTTAGATGTCGACCATGGACAGGGTGCAGGTATTAAATAATAAAGGTTAACTGTCCAGTGCTAAACTATATTTTTCCTTTCCTACCTCTCCGAGAGAGAGAGAAGGTGAACATAAAATAATATAAATACAAAATAAAACTTTGGTTGTTAGGCCTATATATATAATTAACAAAAACAAAAACGAAAAAATAAAATTCAATTTGCTCTTTACATCATCATGGCAAAGTTACGATAAAAGCCATCGGAGCGTACAGAGGATCTTTTCCCCCAATAAGTTATGTAAACTCCTTTCCTTTTTATTCAGCCATGCCATGTTCAATTTCCTAAAAACCCAAAGTCTGATGTCAGACAAGGAATCAAAATATACAAATTGTCATCGATCAACAAAGGGGATATCCTTATGTTTGAGAAGTATTTAAGCTTCGAACTACATGCGTCTCAAGAATGTCATCTTTTTGTTTAATTTTTTTTATTTTTATATGCATGCAAATTCCAAGGGTCTGTAGTTATTATTGTGAGACTGTTGGTGAAATGCATCACTCCTTAATAAGAGAAGAAAAGATGTAGCTTCGGAGAGTATTGGAATGTAAATGGATAACTCTTATTCTTAGTCAAATAATTGCTTCATTTTTTTTTTCAGGGCTGTTGCCAGGTCAAATTTCCTTATGTTTGAGAAGTATTTAAGCTTCGAACTACATGCGTCTCAAGAATGTCATCTTTTTGTTTAAAAAAAAACTTTTTTTATATGCATGCAAATTCCAAGAGTCTGTAGTTTCTATTGTGAGACTGTTGATTGGGTGAAATACATCACTCCTTAATAAGAGAAGAAAAGATGTAGCTTCGGAGAGTATTGGAATGTAAATGGATAACTCTTATTCTTAGTCAAATAATTGCTTCATTATTTTTTCAGGGCTGTTGACAAGTCAAATTTCCTTATGTTTGAGAAGTATTTAAACTTCGAACTACATGCGTCTCAAGAATGTCATCTTTTTGTTTAAATTTTTTTTTTTTTATATGCATGCAAATTCCAAGGGTCTGTAGTTATTATTGTGAGACTGTTGGTGAAATGCATCACTCCTTAATAAGAGAAGAAAAGATGTAGCTTCGGAGAGTATTGGAATGTAAATGGATAACTCTTATTCTTAGTCAAATAATTGCTTCATTTTTTTTTTCAGGGCTGTTGCCAGGTCAAATTTCCTTATGTTTGAGAAGTATTTAAGCTTCGAACTACATGCGTCTCAAGAATGTCATCTTTTTGTTTAAAAAAAAACTTTTTTTATATGCATGCAAATTCCAAGAGTCTGTAGTTTCTATTGTGAGACTGTTGATTGGGTGAAATACATCACTCCTTAATAAGAGAAGAAAAGATGTAGCTT